GTTGGTACTTTCTACCATAGTCATTCTTTTCAAACAACAACCGCTATCTATACATCAGGTCAGGTACTTCTGGGACTACCCTCGTATGTGCGTGTTTGGCGATTAACGAGAATTGATGGTCTATTATCGGTCAAATACAAGTTATTTGACGTTCTGATGAGTCGCTAATTTGTACACAAAATATATGTTTATCTTTCATTGCAATGAGATATATCGAGAATTTTAAGACGATCAATCTTGAGTGTTTCCTGACAAACTTAATTAGTACAATATAACGAATCGTGAGATTACGATAAAATTTTTCATGAATCTACGGCGCGGCATGTTATCGACAATTAGATTATCGAGTTTATCATCCAACGTCATCCATGAATCACAATAGTGTATCGCGCGTATCATGTAGTAATATTATATCGGCTTTTATTTTCTCCAAACGCGACGCAACTTTGTTGTCTTGTATTGTCGAACAACGATATTGAAAATCTTTGTGAATTTTTAAATGTCTAATTTACGGTGCTCTCGTGATCTTAAACTTTGTAATTCTAGTAGCAAAATTAAATAAATAAAAAATAAATAAATAAATAAACAAAAATAAACATGCAATATTTACAATGGTTAAATGCTACGGTGTTTAATATTTAAGTGAGCTCGGCATGCGTGTATGGCTTCATGTCTCACTCGAGTATCATAGAATTTATTGCGAAGATTACTTACTACTAGACTGCGAAATATCGTACTCGATCATCAAGATTTAATCATCAAAGCGTAACGAGTGATGGAGAACAGCGAAGATAATTGCAGACGGCAAAATCTTGAGGTCTTGCATACAAAAGACTTCTCGCAGACTATGTTCAGTGAACTCTAACCGCGTCGTTTAGCAAACAATGAAATTAGAACAACGGAGAAGAAACGAAGACATCTCGGAAAATTGTCGAGCAAATCGAGACGAGAGGATACGAGCGTTCGCTTTAAGCGAGCCGTAATCTCGCATCATTAACGGATCGATTTGCGATTGAGAACAGAAAGTTGCGTACGCGCCTTTGTAGTTTCTTGCAAAGTTGATACGTACAAACGACACGTAATAAAGATTAAGCAATATCGGCGAAGGCTGATCGGCAATATTACCGCTCTACTACGTTCGTATTGAGCGCAAAAACGCTGCACTTTTCGCGCGACAATAAATAACGTTTCAACATAATGGATGCGAGCGTCGGTCACAATAATTACCGCGAGTTTCACGCTCGCTTTGAAGTAATCGCGATTGGATTACATTATCGCGCATGTCAGGCAACTGGTATAAACTCACGTTCGATCGTTGTCGTTTCGTATGCAGATGCAGCCGGAAACGCGTGTCATTAAGAAGCAGCTCCGCAACGATTTCGCATGAAATTTACTTATTGCAAATATATGTCGTAGTGATAGATGTTAAGGGGAGAATTACATGCGGAAGGCCGTTTTCAAGACCATTTTTACGAATTCTTTTAACAGAAACGGTAAGATCAATGGACTTGAAATTTTCACATTGCATTCATTAATATTTAAAGTATAAAATAAATTTTATTCAGTCACAAGAACCAATCCAATTTGTAATTATAGATAAAAATGCGGTCATCCGTTTGCGAGCTCTATGTTCGCTGTCGACATAATTCCGGGTCTCTCTCTCTCTCTCTCTCTCTCTTTCACTACTCTGAAATCAAAAACTAAGAAAGACTTTTAAAATATACGGTTGCCATAGCCCGCACTAAGATGAAGACAGTGAAGCCAATCTGCGCGTTTAAAATATGTACTTTTCATATAGATAATGGCAAATTTATTTTGTATCTTGAACATTAATGAATACACTCTTTCATGGAAATTTCATTGATCCTACCGTTTCTATTAAAAAAAATTCCTAAAAATAGCCTTGAAAACAGACTCTGTTTTAGAGTTCCGCATGTAATTCCCCCCTTAAACATTACTTTCGCCGTGAGTATTGCTCTGTATTCTACGAAGTTTAGAAAAAAGGGAGAGACAGAAAGACATACAATACAAATTCGCGCATTCGACGCTGACTGCGCGACATGTAAGGAAATGTCTTTTGATGTCACGGCTGTTGACATTTGAATAATAACATCGTTGACCGCGGAGTTAAAAAGTTGTCATTAAAAAGTTAAATTTACGATTTTCATACTTTACGCAACGATCCGCCGTTGAGGAACCAGTCTCTTCTCTTCTTTCGTTAATCATTACATTAGCACGCAACCGCATGCACGATTATGGCACGTACATTTCATATTCATACGGCGCTTTGCGTTTTTCCGGGCCGCGTTCTCGCAGCACAGTCGGCGGTTTCGATTAATCTCTCGCGAACGAACCGGGCGCGGTTCAGTAACGACGTTACAGCGTTACACAAAACTCGAATTTCACTTGAACTCACATAAACGCGGAATAACGCATGAACTGAGGACCGATAGGGAGGAAAAGAGGAGGGACGGAATCCGGCTCTTGCCAGAACCGCGAGCGCCAGTCGCGTTTTCAATAATGCGATCGCGCGGAAGACGCGTACGCGAGTACGTGCACACGATATTATCTGATCGCCGATAACAGCTCGCAACGAACGTGAATCACGAACGTGTACGTTCGTGATTTTCTCGATCGGGCAAGTCACGCTAATATCACAAACAAACTGAACGCGCCAAAATGGACACGCAGTTGTCGCCAGCGGAGAAGATAGGTTCTTCCCCAGCTTCGTGTCCGTAAATCGAACAGCGCTTCGAGCGTTATGTTCGTTTGAAAATCATCACAGCTTGGCACGGAGAACTTTTCAATGGGTATCACATCTCGTCGAACATATCTGAGCATGACCGTTGCCGAGCGATCAGCGGACGCGGGAAAGACGCCCGTTGCTGAGCAATAACTTCAACTTTTTTAGCCCGCGTTTTTTCACGAGACAAGTCTCGCGTAACTCGATTTGAAGGACGTGAGATTATATCGCGGATAAAATTCCACCTCCAGTTTCTCTGCCACGATTTGCGGATCGTTCGAAGCAGGCCTGACGCATGCCCGTTATACGAACAGTCGCAGCCGACTACTCCTCCGTCCCCTTCTTTTTTCCTCATTTTTTCCCCTTTTTCTTCCCGAAGACAACCCCGGGCCTCTGGTCCGATAGTTAGTGCAACTGTTGCGGCAACAGCGCGGCGGCGCGTTACCGCTCGATCTCGCGCGCTCCTCGGCGCGCGGTTAACGACGGCGGCGAATCGCCGCTCAACGTAAGAGAGAAAGCGCCGTGAACATTCGCGGCGGCGGCGGGTCTCAGTAACGAGACTCGGTCGTTATAACGAAAGTAAATTTTGTCCAAAGCGCAAAGGCTGCGCGCCGCGGCGCGTCCATTATCGGCGCACGGCGAATTGAGTCGTCGAGTCGAGCGCGCGGACGGTTGCAAAATGCACGCGCGCGCGCGCGCGAGAGAGAGAGAGAGAGAGAGAGAGAGAGAGATAGATAGGAACGGTCGCGCAATTGGACGATCTCGCGATTTATCCCGGTCAATAAATTATCTCCTACGGACGGTTCTCTCCTCTCCGTCGGTCTCTCCGGCGCAACGCCGCGAACGCTGATAAAGCGCGAAACGCGCGAAGGAGAGAATCGCCACGTGCCGTGCGTCGCGCGTAACGACGCGCTTTCTTCGCTTTTCCATTTCCTCTGCGCACAAATGGTCCTTGGGAATATTAATTCTCTGGAATTTTTCGAGTCATTGTCATTCGAAAAATATTGAATATTACAACGTAGATTTAAATTTCATTTACATTATTAAAGCCCTCAACACAATAGATGTTCTGTTTGCGTAAAATAAATTAAGGTCTCCGCTGTATAAATTATGGATGCATACATGCGCAGGCCAATATGACGTACATGTCGTTATGCACAATGATCTATGAATAAATATGTATGTATATGTATGTATGTATATAATATTACAGGTGAATTTCTTCTTCATCAAATTATATCCTCGATACGATACGAAAAACTGCTGCGCGATCGGTTAGGTATCTTTTTGGCCGTTTCAGCGGTGATAACAAATGAGATTTCATTTATTACGGGCCCATTGCTAATTTCTGCGAAAGTTCTTTCTCTCAACGGTTGGCTCGCATCAGCCTGAAGTACTCGGTCTCGAGAAACCTGTTTTAGTTCTGTGGTGTTCCGTAACTTAAAAAGTTAACCCAGCATTAACATATATGTAAATTGTCGCGAAAAATGTCGAGTTTTATTAATATTTCTCTCATGCGCAGGAATTGGCTCCTCTCGGGAACAATGGGACGAATCTCGCAAATGTGAATCGAGACATCGTTGACACTCGTTACTCGAGATAAGTCGTCGGTCTCATTGACGAAGCGTGACGAAACGATTGAAAAATCCACCTCCGCTCGAGTGAAACGTGATCTCAATCCTAGCCTAGCCTAGCCTAGGAGTTTACGGATAACACGGAGGACCAAATTAGTTCGGGGCTTTCGAAATTTCGGGGGAAACACATGTCAATTAGGAGGAGGAAACGAGAGATGTGTGTCAGAGAATGAGCGAGGAGAGGCAGGAAGGGTAGAGACACAAAGAGGGTAAGAACATGGGAAAGAGTGACAAGGCGAAGGAAAACATTGCTTATCACTGGATATCTGAAGAGCGTCTGTGAGAACGGAGGCGAATCACTGGCCGACGAATCGATAGGCGGCAAACGCCGTCGGAAAAACGAGTTCTCTCGGTCAAACGTACCTCGTATTTCGGGCCGCTTCTCTCTCCCTCTCTCTCTCTCTCTCTTCCATTCACTCACTCGCTCGCTCGCTCATTCGCTCGCTCGCTCGCTCTCTCTCTTTCTCTCTCTCTCTCTCTTTCTTTCTCTTTCTCTCTCTCTCTCTCTTTCTCTCAATCGATCGTAGGCGCGTCGCTTAACCTCAAAGTACACGCGTACGCGCCGGTACACCGCGTGCACGTTTCTCGATCACGCGATCTCATGAAGCAACGGTTACACCCACCTGCTCCTCCACGTTTCTCTTCTGCCCGTCGCGACGCGGCACTCCGGCTTCCTCGCTCGTCCGCGTACGATTCCGCCCGCCGTCTTCGACGAAGAGCCTCCTTCCGCGAGCGGCACACGCTTCCTCTTCCGGTATAGTCCGGCGAGTCTGTCAATCTCGCAGCAGCTCTCTCGCCGGTCGGACCGTCGTGTCGCTCTCTGCGCGCGCTCTCTCTCTCTCTCTCTCGCCTTCGGTGTCACCTGCTGTGGTATATAAACGCGCGGGCACGCACCGTCCGCGTAAGAACGACCAAGCGCGATGACAGCCCTGGCGGTGGCGGCGGCGCCTCTTCTTCCGTGATTGTCGGTTACTTCCCTTCAGCAGCAGCAGCAGCAGCGACGATGACGACGACGACGACGACGGCGGCGGCGGTGGCGGCGGCGGCGGCGACGACGACGGCAACGGCAACGGCAACAGCAACGGTCCGTTGTCGCGGTGAAGCGAGATGAAGTACGCCGCAAGTCAATCTGCGAATGGGTTATTATCGAAACCGACGAGCGCGCGCTCGTCGCTTCTTCTTCTGTCACCGTCCGACACGATACGATAAACTCGAATAACGACCACTCGTCGTCGGTCGCAAGTTTTCTTCGCGTCGGCCACGCGTCGTCTTCCTCCTCCCCGTCGCTCCGGAGCGGACACGGGTTAAAGGGGGAGGCGAAGCGGAAGAAGAGGGACGGAGATGGAGGAGAAGGACGGGAGAGAGGTAGACTGGCGCTAAGCTCACACACGCGGTCACGCTCGAGCGGTGGTCCCCGCCTCTTATCACCGACGCTGCCGTCCGCTGCCGCCCGTCCACTGCCGCCGACCAAGTTTCTCGTTCGCCCGTACTTGTCTAACAGTCGAACGTCCCCGAGCCCACCCCGACCGCGTCCGAGCCCGCGTCCTACTACCGCCGCCACCGCCGCCGCCGCCGCCGTTGCCGTCACCGCGCCGGCGGTTGCTTTCCTACGTCTCTGTCTTTCGCCCCTTCCGGAACCCAGCGCGCTCCCGTCCGCTCATTTACATCCTCTACGTTCGCTACCCCGTGTAACCCCGCGAGCGCTTCCGCGTCGGCTCGTTCCTGCGCGCGATTATGGGCGGGATACGGACGGGCGGGTCGTTTTCGCCTTTTCTTTCTTTTCTCTCTCTCTCTCTCTCTCTCTCTCTCTCTCTCTCTCTCTCTCTCTCTCTCTCTCTCTCTCTCCGGTCTCCGTGTGATCGACACAGCGCGCCGCCGCGCTTCCTCGGCGGCACGCAACGAATCGAAACGGTGCCGACGCTCTCTTGTTTGAGCGGTGATACTCGAAGCTCGCGCGACGGAGCTGGTGTCGACGAATGGCGATGACGAAACGATGAGAGCCGAGGAGACCGCGGCGACGACCACCACCGATGAAAAGGGCGCGGCGGTGTCGACAAGAAGGAGCCGCGTCGTGAGGCGCTTCGCGGAGCAGGCGCCATCCCACGGCGCTGACTGCAATCTTCAGAGGCGTGTTTGTATTTCGAGCAGGGCGGCGACACGGAGAGTGTGACTTTGAAATATTTCGTAAACGCTAAGTAAACGCTTTAGATCTGCCTCGGACTTTCCTCGGCGCGACTCGGAAAGATGCAAGATTGACAGAATAATGTTGGACAATCGAGCACAAGCGGGATGTCGGGAGAGCTGGCGAATTGATTGGATTCCAACCCAATTCTTCATTCAGCCGCGACATTCTCGACGGATCTTGGGCATCCGGAAGTCTCAGGTATTTCTCGCGCATTTTAATATCTCATCTCGAATAATAAAAAAAATAAAAACATAGAAAAATAAAAAAAAATAAAGACATAAAAAAATAAAAACAACATAAAAAACATAACACAACATGAAAAACATAAATAGCATGAAAATAACAAAAATAACATCCAATAACATAAGAAAGGGACAGATATACGCACACGATATATCTCGATTTGATCATGAACTAAAAGAGCTATTCCTTTTGTCTCCCCTCTGTCTCCCCCCTGCTGTTCGAAGGTCGCAACCTAAAATATTACTAAAATTTCGCATAAAGATGGACTGCTTTTTCGTGTCGATTTTTTATGATTTGCCATGTCAATGTCATTTGCCGAGAATGTTGAACGTTGAAATGTTAAATGTTAATATATGTAATTTATCTATTGTGAATCCAAAACAGCTAAAAAACAGCTGTTGACATTTTAAAGGGGAAGTTACATGCGGAATACCGCTTTCAAGACTGTTTTTACGAATTTTTTTTAACAGAAATGGTAAAATCAATGACTTGAAATTTTCACAATGCATTCATTAATGTTCAAAGTATAAAATAAACTTTATTGAATCACAAGAACTGATCCAATTTGTAATTATAGATAAAAATGCAGCCATCCGTTTGCGAACTCTATGTTTGCTGTCGACATAATTCCGGGCCTCTCATTACTTTGAAACTAAAAAATGAGAAAGATTTTTAAAATACAGTTGTCATTATAGCTCGTACTAAAATGAAGACAGTGAAGTTAAGTTTGGGAAAATAATGACTGTACAAAAGTATCGAAAAAAAGTATGGAAAATGAAACTTTTTTTCAGCTTGTAATCATGTTTAAAAAAATGAATAAAATAAAATATAACTGTATTCGAGGCGAAAACTACATGTCTACTGTATATTGTGTAAAAATTTCAAGTTATTCAATTCGGTAGTTTTTGCGTAATCGTGTCGATAGTTTAAGAAAATGATGTTTCCAGATAAACTCGTTTAAAGTTCTATGTATACTTTCCATATAGATAGTAACAAATTTATTTTATATTTCCAACATTAATGAATACACACTGTGAAAATTTCAAGTCCATTAATTCTACCGTTTCTATTAAAAAAATTCGTAAAAATAGTCTTGGAGTACGGCCTACTTCGCATGTAATTCCTCCTTTAATTATGTAATTCCTCCTTTCTCATCTAAATGGTAGGGATATATAAATGATCCATCCGGAGATTGGCCTTGCTATAGATGTAATACATATGCACAGAGAAAGAGAGAGAAAGGGGGAGAAAGAGAAAGAAAAAAGATGTCCCCTCTTTAGTTACACCCAGCGAAAAATGACTCGCCGATCGATGTCGAAACGATGTTGTTCTGACATCGTTTTGAAATTAACTTTGTCGCCGGGTAGTTCGCCTCGTGAACTATTTTCATCAAAATCATTTCAATCATTATTCATTATTTTCAACGCAGAAAGTATAAATCGCATCAGAGACCGTCGTGGAATCTCTGGAAAATTTCTGGAGATCCTTGCAGAAGTTGCAGAGATGTAAAGATTTTAGTACTTTTGCGTAAATAAGTGAAAAGAAGCCGATACTTCTCGCTGCTGAGATTACCATAGTCAATCGCGGCAAGTCGCGTTAGATCGACACTATGTTTGTCGTTTTGAAAACACGTGTTGGCTGAAATGACAAGTTGTTTTAGTTGAAAACTGACTGATTGACCAAATCGAGATCGGACTTGGAATTTAACGAAATATACGATCCCGGCTGTCTCAAAAAAGAATGGAGTTGCGCAATTGTCTTCCTAAGATTATATAACTACGATGTATGCCAACTCTGTGTTTATCGATGTTATACGTTCGGCAGTGTTCAGCGAAAGCGATCTCTTTGACCGGTCTCCCTCTTTACTAAATAATGCTGATTGCGCATTACTTAATGGAATGTCGGAAGACATGGGAGGTTGGGAATGCGCGACACGCAGGCGATCGTAAGATTCGAAATGTAAACAAGATTATTTCAGCTCTAATTTTTTGCTATATGAACACGCGAACGTCACATCACACGCAGCAACGTCCTTGAAACAGGTGCGAATCAAATGCTTGAAAAATTCAAACGTAGAGCTACAGTGGCTACGTTCAGCGGAGAAAGCTGCTTTGTAACTACTGTAAAATTCGTGAGTTCTGATTGGTGCATACTTTTGGATTCAGTCAAATTTAAGAGCACACGCCAATTAGATTTACAAATTTTGCAGCAGTTGCAAAGCAACTTTTTCTACTTTTCTGAACGTAACCAATATTCTAGCTGTGCTAACAAGGGAGATTTGAGAAACCAAAAATTCCAAATAATTAGAGATTTTACAGGAATAAAGTATGTACGATCCTGAATTTTTATTTTGGCTCAAAAGCGAGTTTCTAGGGAAAACTCTTCAAAGAAAACCCGTTTTCTTTTTTCTATATTTTTGCTAATATCTCTGAAACTACAAGAAATATTTAAAAAATGTTAAATACAAAATTGTATAATGTATAGTAGCCTCTAACATTATGATAAACGATTAAAAAACAATTAAGAAAGTTTTTTTAATTTAAAAGTAATGTGACTATGAAGTACTCAACATGTCATATCTTTGCTAATCTCTGAAACCTCAAGAAATATTTTTAAAATGTTAAATACAAAATTGTATAATAGGCGCTAACATTATGATAAACGATTAAAAAACGATTAAAAAACGATTAAAAAAATTTTTTTTTAACTTAAAGGTAGTGTGGCTACACTGAGAAAAAATTGTATTAAAATTAAATAAATCTTCGTTCGAATACGACTGTGAATATATATATATATATATATATTTAAATTTATTTAAATTTATTTAAATTTATTAATATATTTATTTAAATTAAGCAATTATTTTCTTCTAAAATTCAAGAAAAAGTTTATATTCAGAACTCTCTGTATTTTATCTCTCTGTATTTTATTTTAGAAATTAGTCGCTTAATTTGAATAAATTTATTCACAGTCGTATTCGAACGAATTAAGATTTGTTTAATTTTATTACAATTTTTTCTCAGTGTATGAAGTATTCAACATGCGTCTAAAACACGTCATCAACAATTTTTATCGGAAATTTATATATATTTATATATAAATCCGCATATATACATACACATACATGTAATTTAAAGCGGATAAGTTAAAGATTCGTGTTCGCTTTGCATCTGTTCTATCTGACATGCAGATAATTCCTATTAAATATAGACACTTCAATCTTTACTGACATGATGAAAAATTAACACGAACGACGTAGATGTTGTTCTTTGTCGAAGGTAGACCATGAGTCAAAAGATGACGGCACCGTGATGCAAATATACATAATATACATAAACACTCGGTATCGTGAATATGTTTTTATGGCGTCATGAATAATAAAATTCTTAACAGTTCTGGGAAACGACACAGTGCAAAACGATGCAGCTACATGGTGCTTCCTACGGTGCCGATTTTTTTCCACAAGGGAAGAGTTCGTTCTATATTACACAAAGTTCTTCGAGAAATATCGCGAAAGCATCGATGACGAGCTTTCGAAGGTCTCTTTGATTTATGGGACACTTATAATTTCCGATAATACACGCACATAAAACATCGACATGTCTAAAATTAATCAAACTAGCGTTTGAGGAGGCGGGTGGCATGGCCTGCTGAAGAAAGTTCCTACTCATCATTAATTGGGAAAGAGGCGGAAGGATTGATCTCATCCAGTGGAAGGCAGTCTACTGACAGGATTAGTTACAGAGAGCATCGTGCTCTGAATAAACACTTCCCACGATTGGGTTACAGGACATGAGCATGTGCGGAGGAAAATGAAGTGTATACGGAAGACGAAGAAACACTGTTGCATCTACTTTGTTACTGTGAGATATACATGTGACTCAAAGAATCTCAAGCGGAAGCTGAAGAAGCGGATTCCTCTCGGTGATGCACACGAGATAACCTGGCAAAAGCTCATTAGCTTTTTTGAGGAGCTTTACAAGGCGTCTGTAAATCATCAGGGGCACAATAAGCCCTTTGGGCTGC